ATCGAGCGCTCCGGGGCTTTCTTCTAGCGCTATGGGAGTTTTTGGGAGGTTTAGAGAGAGTGTAGAGAGAAGAAAGAATGAGAAAGGTGTGAAGAAAATGAGGGTGTGAGAGGTTCTATTTATAGGGTGAAATATGGCTGAACTTGGTGCCACATGTCACCATCTGGTGGCAAGACTTGGGGAGAAAGCAATGGCCAAGATTGTGCCACATCACCCATTTTCGCACAACACACTTCCGACTTCTAAAATCCGTAACTTTTGCATACGAGCTCCGTTTTTGACGTTCTTTATATCCACGCGTAGGTAAAAATAAGATCTACAACTTTCCTTTTGACTCCCTCGGCTAATTCTCGACCGATCTTAAATTTAATAGTAGAAGGTGACTACATTGTTAAATGTCCGCGTAAAATTCATAACTTCTACATACGGACTCCGTTTTCGTCTGTCTTTTTGTCGTTGAGTTCCTATTAATGAGATCTTCAATTCTCATTTAGGTCGCGTTGGCCAAAAACCGCTCGATCTAAAATTCGAGTTTCGGGCCGTGCACTGCTAGGCCAAATCTTAGAAAAATCATAACTTCCTCATACGAAGTCAGATTTGGGCGTTCTTTTTATGCACACTCTCGGTTTAACGTATAACACAACTTTTTTTAGATCACTAAGGCCAAAAAGTCCTCTATCGTAAATTCACTATTTACGTCGCGTAGTGCCGTGCCGGTTTTGTCGCGAAACTTCGACGAGCCATAACTTCTTCGTTATAACTCGGATTTCGGCATTCTTTATATGTACGGAACCCTTGTGACATATTCTACAACTTGGTTAAGATTACTCCTTCTAAATAATCTTCCATCAAAAACTCATTTTTGATGCTCATTGTCTCTAACTTGACTAGCCCGGATCTATGGGCGTTACTTCGATCTTTTTCAAATGGTACTGGGTATATTTCAACCTGTTCGGTCTCTTTCAACCGGTATCGGGTCTATTTCACCCCCTACAGCTATCATATAATCATAACAGTAAGAGTCACAGAAACATCAAGCATATACAGACATAGCAGGTAATTGTCATAAAGATAATCATCATCCTACAAACATAATCTAGTGGGCCGACATTGGTGCCTTCGACCCACAAATATAGAGAAGGAAACTCACCTCAGACTGAAGATATCAAATCACACTCGAGCTGCTGACACGTGAAATCCACTCACTAAATCACAAATAATAAAGCCCTAATTAGAAAATAGGCAAATAACCCAACCCGAGAATCCAAACCCTAAATCCCAGCTTTAAGGGTAAAAGGCTGGTTTACCCTCCCCTTATGGGGCCTAACATACCAAATCCCAAATCCAAAAAAGCCTAAAAACCAAAAATGCATTCCAAATCCAATATGGGCCCAAATCCATGAAGGTCCGACTCAGAATAACTTGTGGTCCAACAAGGGCCTAATACCCTAAGGCCCAAGATGACCCGAAACTAAAAGCCCTAAAAAACCCCCTACGTGAGTACGCTAAGCGTACCCTCAGTATGCCCGGCGTACTCGGATGCTTCACCAGATCGAGACCCCAAGCGCGTATGCTCAGCGTACAACTGTATACGCACTGCGTACACCCCAGTTGGCCAAATTCCACTTTTAAGGTCTTAATCAGTTAAGACCTAACGTACAACTTCAGATCTAGCCTCCTTAAGACGTCCTAAACAATAAAGTTGGCAACTTTATTCATTTACATGTCTTAATGGGACTCAATTCATGGATTTAACACTCTACTTCCATTAAATGGTCACTAACTCATGCATAGTTTATCTACAACCACCAAGATGCAAGATTTATGGATCAATGGACCTCAAAACAACAAAGGGGATGTCTCATAACATCAGGAGTAGCATTTACTCATAAGAGTTCATCCATGGGACCAAAATATGCTAAATTCTTCCCCAAACTTAGATCTAGACATATGATGAAAAAGTTTTAATCTTTATACCTCCAATGAGCTAGAAATGGTGAATAACCTCTTGATCTACAAGCTCCTTCTTGTCCAATGCTTCTCCTCAAGCCTTCTTCTTCTTCAATAAGCACCACACATACACAACACACACATACAAGCCCTTTGAGAAATGAACTAGGGTTTCGAGGTTGGCTTAAAAAGGCAATAGAGGCTGATAAGGTGAGGGTTTGAGGGGGGGGGGGGGGGCTTAATGTGTTTAAATAGGGTTCAAACCCTAAAAATTAGGGTTTTCCCCTGACGCACGCCTTGCATACGTATGGGTACACCCAGCGTATCAGGGGGACTCCCTACCTTATGCATGCATAGGAGTACACCCGACGTACCATATGTACGCCCGACGTACTCGGGTCCAATACAAAGAATAAATGAAATAATTTGCTAAGAGTTTAACCTGACAAATCGGGCGTTACAACCCCTTTGTGGGCTAATAGACAAAACAAACTCCAAGTTCTCCTCCCTCTTCCTGATTATGCGTCCAACCTCCATTCTCTATTTTCTTGCCAACAAGCTTCCCGCCAGTCAAAAACCCTCCCGCCGCCCACCCCTAAGTCGTCGCCTTAAGCAAAGTCGCCACCAAGTTTGTCCTAATCCAATACCAAGTAGTACCAAACAGAACCGAACATATTGGCTACTAATTTTCTTGGTTCGGTTGGTAACATGTTGGTTGGTTTTTCATGGTATAAATTTGACAACCTTGTTTAAACACTTGTATATACACAGATAGCTATGCAATTTGTGATTTTGATATAACAATGATAATCAAGTTTAACTCATGCGTTTGATCAAATATATGACATTGAAATGCAGCAACATAAGATCTCCTTTACCTAAGAAGAATTCGAACAATAAAATCAAATGTTGTTCAACGTTGATCATCTTTGGTTTTTATTTAAATGCTATTATGATTGATGAATATGATGATTTATTTATTTTATTTAAACAAAACAATATATGATGAATATTAAAAATAAACGATTAGAATCGATGTTGATACCACTTGCATTATCTCATAATCGTATAAAGGATACATATTTCAAGTACGGGTGTTCAAAATATTTCAAAATCAAAAATCCGAACCTAAAAACCTAAAAATTGTACTGATTTCAAGTTAACTGAACCGATATTTTTGAATTTTTCGGTTTGGTTAATTGAACAGGCAAAATCTTCGGTTTTTCGGTTCGGTTATGATTCATGCGTTTTGCTACGGACGGTTAACCGAAAAACCGAAATTATTTTCTATTTTTTTTAAAATATTATTTATGTTTAGACGTTTAAGTTAATATCAAATTATTTCCTAGAAATTTCCAATTACAATTAATAATTGTCATATTATTTACATTTTCCATTAAACAAATAATTGTCGGTCATTTAACATTTGTTATAAATATACATAAGTTGATATAAATTAAAATAGTCATTTGCATTTCATCACCATTTCACATAAATAACTAAATATTTGATTATCTTTTATCTATTAATTAAAAAATCTTTTTTTTATTAGTCGATATTATTTTCCATATTCCATGGATATTTGATAATTCATCCAAATCTCATTATTAATAGAAACAACAATACAATTAAACAAATTATATAGATTATTCATTGCAAGTCATTCCTTTTTAGTAAATTTCTTATGGGGTTGATAATCTTAACATATTTTTGTTAATCAGTAAGGGTTAATTGGTTAACCAGATAACCGAATCGAAAAAATTGGTTAACCGAATGCCCGTTAACCTGATTTTTCAGTTTAGGTTTAGGTTCAAGAAATTAACGAACCGATAGTCTCGATTAACCTCCCGAAATATGTTATTGCTTCGGTTAACCATCCATGAACACCCCTAATTTCAAGTTAGGGTGAGCATGGATAGCGGGTACCCGCTTTTGGAACCGAAATCACCTCAGGACCGTCAGTTTTGGAATCGAAACCGAGGTCACTGGTTCCGGTTCTGGTTACTAAAAGTTGAAACCGCCAAGGACCAGTTCCAATTCTGATTTTTATTTTTCAGGAACCGTTACCCGCCGGGTAACCATCGAAACCGATTCCGAAATATTAAAATTTAAAAATACTTAATACTTAAATGAATTGGTCCTAACAATGTTGATCACTAAGACATTTGTTAGGATTATCTTACTGGATCTTAGAGGTAACATACTAATAAGTCATATTTGCATTTTTTTTTGAAAATAAATGATGTTAATTTGAATACTTGACTGTAAAACAATTTGAACACACATAAGCTGATCCCTATTTCAAGTTGATTACCGTCTCATCTAATACACTAAAATAACAAAAATGGTGATATATATAACATGTGAAAGAGCTAATTTTTAATGTTAGTATAACATTAGGACTCTTCACAAAACATCATTTTGGAGTATGGATTTGTTTACATAATGAACTCACCTTGGTTATATACATCAAAGTGATTGATTAGCAGTTCATGTTATTATGACATTAAAATTCAATTTTGGAAAAATTGAAAGAGAAATTCACATTTGAAAGAGAAATTCACAGATGCAAATGTATATGATTTTAATGCACAAATTGTACATTAAAGATTTGTAAATTCGTAGATGACCATGCAAAAAAAAAAATCGAAGAACACATGAATCATCAATAAGTAGAGAGGAAATCGCAAATATTTGTATGTAATATGTGATAAAATGACCATTTTTTATACCTGAATTAAAATCGCAATCAAGGTAATGAAACCGTTGACGCCTAGCCCTCACCTGTAATTTCATTAGTTAAAACTGAAAAAGTCTTAAATTTGTAGTTATTTAGAAAAAAAAATTAAGAAAAATAACTATTTTTACCTCTATCTCTTAAAACACCTTGCTTTGAAAGTTTAGTATTAGCCACTTTAGTTGTACCATATTTTCACTTGTCACCTAACTCCTCATACTATATATATAATTTTTATTTTGTGTGCGATAAGCCGATAACAAACACTTATTTCTTCAAATATAATAGGGTCCAGTCAATAAATATTTAAAGTCAAAAGGTCTCTTCCTTGGGTCAAACCATCCAAGGGCAAAATAATTTAATGTCATTTTCGTAAATAATCCAGAAATCACGGGTGCACATATATCAAAAATATTCAGGACATCGTCACATCTGTTTCTCACTCCTGCCCTTTTTGCTCTCTCTTCGTCTTCTTCTCGACAACAGGAAACATCTAGCCCAGAAGAACGCTCAGATCTGTGACCACAAAAGCTTCGCGAAAACCTAATCCAGGATACAATATTTGTAAGTAATATTTCCTGCTTCATCGTTATTATAAATGTACTTGCTTTTCGTACGCTTTTGATACATTGAGTACACTGTTAGCTCTTTGTATGGACCCGAAGTCGACGTTTGCTCGAGATCTATGACTTTCGAAGTTCGCAAATAGTTGAATTTTGAAATTAACTGTTCCTTGGTCATAGATTGGGGTACATTTGTGCATTATTGAGGTTTTAGGGAGGTCAATTGGTTTAATTAGAGTATGTGTTTTTTGATGATATTAGATCTTAATTCTTGGACGATTGTTTAGTTTTTGTGTATTGAAGATAGGTTTGAGTGGAAATGAACTTTTTGATATATTATCATTTTTTTTCTCTGTATATGCAGTGTCATATATAGATTCGGGTACGTACATTTGTGTATTATCGAAGTTTTAGGGAGACGAAATTGCTTAGTGAGTTACGTTTTTTTTTTTTTTCTAAACGACTGTTCGTTTTTTTGTGTAGTGGAGATAGGTTTGAGTGGAAATCAACTTTTTTATTTCTTATCATATTTTCTCCGTAAATACAGTATTTTAACAGTTTTTTTATATACGCAAATTGATGTCCTTCAAATTGTGAGTGTTTTGAAAATAGAGTTCCTTTTGTGACCAATTGTAGTTACTGTAGTTATAGATTGAACAATGCAAATCATGATGGATTAGTAGATATGCTGCATCCTGCATATGCATATTATTCGTTTTGCAGATTATGCTGCACTTGTGTATCTAGTGTGTTCTACACAAATGTCCAATAGATTTACCATATCCCAAATTCCTACAAAAGAACTTATATTGGCTTATCCATATAATTAGAGTATGCAACAATCTAGAATGAATACCATGCAGCCACTCTTATGTAAAGTGGCTGGTGATCATTCTGTTAGGAATCTCTCTAACTGAACATTTATGTTTCTCCTACTTTTTATTCTATCAACAATAGTTGACCGGTTTAAGTATCCCAACCATGTTTTAGCAAATTGCAGCTAATAAGTCTGCCATTTTTCACATTGGTATTTCATACAACTTTTGATTGCTAACTGTTGATGCAGGCTAGGTAGATTGGGGTGATACGAAATGGCAGAGGTGGATGTTCAAAATCCTCTTCTTGGCGATTCAACCTGCGGTTCGTTACTGCATCAGTTGCAGGTGAAACATGATTTCACATTGTTGTTTTCCATTTTTGTTGTTAAAGAAATTTGTTTGTTTTTTCACTTTCACAGTTTCACTCACATAATCTCAGCTAGAATGAAGTGACTAATAATGTTTATGGGAAGGTTAACTTTTTGTGGGCACTAAACTGACTATTGAGTGATAATTTCTATATTAATGCAGAAAATTTGGGATGAGGTTGGTGAAAGCGATGAGGAAAGGGATAAGATGCTTCTTCAGCTAGAACAAGAGTGCTTGGATGTGTACAAGAGGAAAGTTGACCAGGCTGCAAAGTCAAGGGCACACCTTCTTCAGGCACTGGCAGATGCTAAACTTGAATTTTCAACCCTTCTTGCATCCCTTGGAGAGAAAACGTTTGTTGGAATTGTACGTATCTTGTTGTTTTTTTTTTGTAACAAGAGAAATAGAGAATTCATGAGTCATGACACCTTTTCTGTATATCATGTTGACTTATATGTAGCCTGAGAAGACATCAGGAACCATTAAGGAACAACTTGCTGCTATTGCACCAGCTCTAGAACAATTGTGGAAGCAGAAGGAAGAGAGGATAAAGGATTTCTCAGATGTACAAACACAAATACAAAAATATGTGGCGAAATTGCAGGGAGTAGTAATCAGCAGGCAGGAAGCCCAAAAGTTGACGAGTCTGACTTATCCTTGAAGAAATTGTCAGAATTCCATGACCAGTTAAAAGAGCTCCAGAAGGAGAAAGTACAATTTTACCCTCAACCATTTAGTCAGTCATCTGTTTAGTTATAGACTACTGACACTGATAGTAACATTGATTTTTGTTAGAGTGATAGATTGCACAAGGTCCTGGAACTTGTTAGCACTGTACATGACCTTTGTGCTGTCGTTGGGATCGATTTCTACAGTACAGTGACAGAGGTGCATCCAAGCTTAGATGATGCAACTGGGGTGGGGTCCAAAAGCATAAGCAATGACACCCTAGCTAGGCTTGCTAAAACGGTTATAGCTTTAAAAGAAGATAAGAAGCAGAGGTTAAAGAAGGTAATGCCATTTTCCACCTCCTTATGTCTCTCCTAAAATCATATTATGACATGTTTTTCTTTCTGTTTTGCAGCTTCAAGAGTTAGCAACTCAGCTAATTGATCTTTGGAATTTGATGGATACTTCTGAAGAAGAGCGTAGTTTGTTTGATCATGTTACTTGTAACATCTCAGCTTCAGTGGATGAAGTAACTGTCCCAGGGGCTCTTGCTCTTGATTTGATTGAACAGGTATCAAAAATACTAATATATGGATTGTTTCCTTTTGATTTATTTAATGGGTTAAGCAGTTAATCTGGACAGCTATACACGGCTGTTTTTTTTTTTACTTAATTCGAACATAATGACTCAAGGGGTTAAGCCAAAAAAAAAAAACTGACTTAATGTATTAAGACACTAACCATGTACGGCTATTTTCAATTCTTGTTCTTCCCAACCCATCTCACATTAAAATTGATGAATATTGTGAAATTTGTTTTTTGGAATGTAAAGTTAAAATGGTCATATAGTCTCATTCAGATTGTTTATAAAGTGTACAAAAGAAACAGACCTTGCACTTTATCCAGATAGACATCATTACCCATTCAGCCATACAGAAGTCAACGGGAAAAAAAAACCCTTTAGTTGTTCTTTAGAGAAGAAAATAAGGAGCGTGGTTGGTAATACCTAATTCATAAGACATTATATGATTTTGTTATGTAGGCTGAGGTGGAAGTTGAAAGGCTAGATAAGCTTAAATTTAGCAGAATGAAAGAGATTGCATTTAAGAGGCAAGGTGAGCTTGAAGAGATTTTCGCACATGCACACATTGAGATCAACTCGCAAGCTGCTAGAGAGAAAATTTTGGCGCTGATTGATTCTGGGAGTGTCGAGCCTTCTGAGTTGCTAGCAGACATGGATAATCAAATCATAAAAGCCAAGGAAGAGGCAATCAGTAGGAAAGATATATTGGATAAAGTTGAGAAGTGGATGTCAGCATGTGAAGAAGAAAGCTGGCTTGATGATTACAATAGGGTAATCTTTTTCTTTCTTTTTTGCAAATTAACCCTGAAAAATTAATAGCTGAAATATGTTGATGGTTTAATTTTTTGGCTTCATATTCATAACAGGATGACAACAGATATAATGCAAGCAGAGGTGCACACTTAAATCTGAAGCGAGCAGAAAAGGCCAGAGTTTTGGTCAACAAAATTCCGGGTAATATGCCAGCCAAACTTTTTGTTTCTGTTGGCATGGGTGTTAATTTTTTTATCCAATGCTTGCATTAGAGTTATTCGACCTTTTGCAGAGATTTTTACTATAATATAAATTTGACAATCATCCTGTGGTTATGCAAAAAATATTCATCCTTAACCTTTTTCCGTCCCTGAAAGCAAATATGGATTGTAACCCTTTTAGTCCAAAGCTGATGAAAAAATGACTATTTTGCCCTTATTTGATTTTTTTTGAAAAAATCGTATAAGGGTAGAGTAGTCATCCTTGGGTTGGCTAGAGATGTAATGGATTACAATACTTGCTTTCAGGGACAGGGACGAAAAAGGTGAAAAGTTTAGGACGAGGACCAAATGCGTAACCTTTTTGGTTTTGTAACCATAGGAACACTTTATGTTGTTTACTCTTTAAAATTGCTGTGGTTTATTGACTTTTTTTAGGTTTATTATGTCTGTGTTTGGTGCATTTTAGATGGATAGAACAGTAAAATAAATGCAATGCAATGCAGGTCTTGTGGAGACTTTGGTGGGGAAAACCAGAGCATGGGAAGAGGAACACGGACTTACTTTTGCATATGACGGTGTTCCACTCCTTGCGATGTTAGACGAATATGCTTTACTCAGGCATGACAGAGAAGAAGAGAAACGAAGAATGAGGGTTAGAAAATCCTAGTTATTACTATAAAATGTAGTAGTCAAAAAGTCAATTTGGTTTTGGAATTGTGAGTTGTGACACTACCTACCTACCTACCTACAGGACCAGAAGAAGTTTCATGAACAGCTAAACACAGAACAAGAAGCAATAGTCGGTTCAAGACCAAGCCCGGCGCGACCACTTAGCAGTACAAAGAAGGTGGTGGGACCACGTGTGAATGGTAATGGAAATGGAACACCTAACAGAAGGCTTTCTTTGAACCAAAATGGAGGTGCAGGTGCAGGTGGTAGGTCAGGCAAGAGAGACAGTACCAGACCAATTGCTCCTTTGAACTATGAGGCCATATCAAAAGAGGATGCTGCCTCACATGTCTCAGGTACCGAGCCTGCCCCAGTTACACCTTAAAAGGAGTTTCACTTGAGTAAGTATAAATTGTTTGTTTAGGATCCTACCTACCTACTATCAACTGTCTCTCTCTCTCTCTCTCTCTCTCTCTCTCTCTCTCTCTCTCTTGTGATTGCATGTTACTACTTACTATAACCAGATTCATAATATGCGTCTTTTGAGTTTGAGGGTCTCAAGCTTCCCATTCCTAATTTCGCATATAACATTAAAATTAACTTTTGAAATCATATATCGATAATAAAATTATAAGTTTTATAAAAACATAAATGGTGGGTATAATACTAATATCCTAGCCATCTCAAACCATGGAATTTTTATGAAGTTTCATACCCAGTCGTAAATATATATTATGTTTTAAAATATAAATAATCTATGAAAAATCTAGTTCTAATAACTCTAATAATTTTAACTCAAATATGACTAGTAATTTTAACTTCAAATCCAACCTTATCAAGTGTTTATATTCATAAAATAGGACATACTTTACATATTTGGTGGTGAATGTAGGCGATAAAATGGATAAGATTAAACAGGGTAAGTTACTATTTTATTGTCTTTGAGTGGGTAAAAAAACATATCGCTAGTATAGACTTATAGTAATACAATTGTTTTAAATAAAACGATTTATAATACTAAATAAATACATTTTCGAGTGGCTTTTGACATAGTTTCTCCTGTAATTTTTTTTAAAAAAGTTATATACTTTTTTTTTCGAAAGAGAATATTTTATATACTTTATTTATTACAAATAAAATATAACACCATAAATTATCGGACATTTGTAAAACTAAGAAAGCCAACAAAATGTTGCCCATTGGGAAACTAGCATAGAGATAAAAATCATAAGATATAGCTTAACACAAGTGAAACGGCGATATTGGATTTTGGTTGTACACTAACATGAATCCTTAGTTTCCTCCTATTGGTCCAAGTTCATGACCAATGTCTTATCTATTGACTTTGCTTCCTAGGAATTACCCCTAAAGATAACTATGCTCAAACATCATATGACAGCCAATAATTCCACACACAAATCCAACCTATATATATGCATATATAATCCCAAATCCAAACTAGCCTGGTTCAAAAAACAAACATGGGGTCTATACTAGACTTCCTGAAACCTATATGCTTGTTCGCCAATCGTAACAAGAAAAGACACCAAAATGGTCAGAAACAGAAAGACGAGAAAAAAGAGCAGCTTTTGAAGAATAATCAGCTAACATTACAAGATTGTATTTTAAGTTCGCCTAGCCTCAACAAACCGTCACCATTGCCATTGGCTACTTCTAGCAAACGGGTTCATCCTAACCCTTCATTTGTTACCGAGAACGTCTCCATGGAAACACAAACACTCCTGTTAGGGGACCATTTGAATCCTCTGTTTGAATATGATAACAATGATGATGATGATGATGATGATGATGATGAAATGGTAATGGGGATCAAAAAGACAAAGAAGAGAGTCAGCTTTAGAACACCAGAAGTTGCTGATATTTTCATATTGACTGTTGAGTCTCCTGAGCTACAAGATTTTCAGGTTATCTGAAATTTGATCTTTTTGCAATCTTTCAACTTGTATGTCTATTGATCTCGACCCATTTTCATCTCACAATTTCTTCTAGGGTTACCAAACTAATAACAGGAAAAGAAAAAGAAAAAAAAAAACACGAAAAACGAAACTCATGTCGAAAATTGACTGTTTGGTTTCTTATTACCAAAAGAACAAAGATTGAAGATTGGTTTGGCTTTTTTGTTTTTAAGCCGAAAAAGACTGTAACTTAATGAGATGTTCTTGTTTTGATATGTATGAGATTCATGTTTAATTAATTATTTAAACTTTTTATCGGTTATGCTACAGTTCCACTCTAAATTCTTTCATTTCTTAAATATTTCTAGCCCAAGGCTCTTAAAGCCCACATGCCTAGAGGAGAGGATAGGGTGCTCTCGGATTTGATAAGAAAGACTGGGCCTCCGAGTCATTTTACATGTAGGAAAAAAGACAAACCATGGGCATGAGGCATCTGTCGTCTCAGTTTTTTGGCTTCTATTAAACTCTAGTTGTGTTTTTGGATGTTGATCTCTAGAATGTTTTTGGCTATTATATATTGCAAAATTCAACAAATTTCTTCACGTTTTCATGAATTTTGACTCCAAGAAATCCATGTATTCGATTGCTATATAGTTGCTTTCTGCAACTGGAAAAAATAAAACAAAATTAAAAAAAGTAACATTTTATGAAGCTAGGAGAAAAAAAAAATTGACCCAACATGCAATCTACAACAATAGGCATAACCGCACAATTCATCCTCGGGCGCAAACTCCACTAAATTGTATTAAGGCAAGCTCGAACTCAAATTAATAGCTCAATACTACAGTATCGTCTGGCTCAAGAAAGATTCAAGCTTTGATATGAGAAACCTTTGTTTTATAAAGCAAACGGAACCTAACGGTTTGACTAACTCAAAAACATCTATACAAGCACTTTTGATAAAAGCCCAACTTACAATGTGCACGTTTTATACAAGCCCAACTCTTGTACATGCATATTAATGATTTGCACTTTGATCCTCGGATTTTGAAAATTTGGTCCCATAAAGTTTTCTTGCAAATTTATACTTATTTAAGGTTCTTGTAAGAGAATCATTTAGATGTCACCTCTAAATCGATACAGCCTCTGAATGACTTATGGGACCATTAAAAAGTTGGAATCATTCGGCACTAATACTTATGTTTTATCAAACAACCGAGCTTGCTCCAAGTAAAATTACTTATTCTGGTACTGAAAATAATTTACAATTTTAGTGATAAAAATATAGTTTTATACTTGAAACATTACAAAAACCTCAAATAACATCCAAGTTTATGTTATACCTTTTTGGGACAAAAATTAAAAGCAAGCTAGGACCAAAAATGTAAGCGACTTTAATGAATACATAAGGCTCAAGTGAAATTATAAAGCCAAACTCAAACTCAATGCAACTCAAATTTCTAATAAAAGCTCAAAAAGTACGCGCAAAAAAAAAAAAAAAAAAAAAAAAAAACATGATATGACTGACTAAATAAGAATTATATGTTGGTTGAAAACAATGACATGACATGATCAAACAAAAGACGCTGTAGCTAAATTTCTAACCACACCACCCCTCCCTCGGTCAGCTACTAGAGAGTGATGGGATACAAGGAGTGGGAGATGGATGCTGTCTGTTAACAACTTTTTTGGTTTTAAAATGTGTTCCTCCTGTCAATAAGAATTACAGCCAGCTGCCAGCCACTGTTACTTTGTTGTACAGATTTGGTCAGTAATTGTATACCCTCTAAGGCTCTAACAACCAGACAGCATCACCTGTGTTACCAGAAACACACACACACACTTTAAGTTTAAGCAAGCCTCCTTCTCAAATAAGTCATTTAATAATCTCAAGTCTTACTTACCCCCACACCACAATAGTACAATACTACATCAGATCAGCATGTAACATCTCGAAATAGCCGTTTTATTTCATCATAAAACCATCTGCACAAACACACACAAGGATATGTCATATGATGGATGTAATTTATAAAAGAAAGATTGAGCAATTGAAAAATGGAGACTGATGGGAGGACTCACTTGCAAAGAAAAAGAGGTTTTCGTCTATCACTGCCTCTTGCCCTCAAACGAGTTCTAACAGCGTTTTCTTCAGAGAACTTGCTTGGAGGAAGAACCTCACATGGCCCATGAATCAACCCAGCCAATAGTGTGCTTTCATGATTCGATTCATATACCTAAACCAACATACAACTCCCTCATATCATTTATAACTAACCTTATTATCCCTTTTTTCATAACCAACTTCCTCCAATAATTAATTAACTCATGCTCATGCATGGGTGAATTGGCTGAATGGGTAATGAACTAATGATGTCTGTTTGTCTGGATAAATTGATGTTTGTATTTTGCATACATAAACCCATTTTACCCTTGCATTGCAGAAACCAAGGGGGGAAATAGTTAAGTCAAGTGGTTATAAATTTGGCCAGTTAAGTCATTCTGTCCAAATTAAGTCAAAAAAAATTTATGTTTACCTCATTGGTTTCTGGTGCACATGGACGACCAACACCCTCAGGCAAATCATCAGGAAAAAAACACCGAGTCACAGTAACACACTTCTTTTTCGTCTTTTCATCTTCCCACATTTCCTACAACAAACAACAAACTTATATATAAATAAATATCACATATTATATTATTTATTTATTTTAGTACATAATACTACAGACTCTATCTACTTACTTGTAGTTTATTAGGCAAATATTTATTGCCAGGGGAGCTGAAAAGTGCATAATCCTTTAATGCATATGAAGTTCCATTGATGCAACAAGACTGGTAATATGTTTTTCCATCGATTTCTTTTACCACATCCCCAACCCATTCAACTTCATTCATTGCTATGCTACTCAATAAAGGGTCCTCATTTTCACCAACCACAACATGATGAGTTTCACTTTTTTTAACAGGATCAGGATCACCTTCTTCACCCTCCTCCTTAACTGAGTCTGAACCATTAACACCAGGTTCTAAACTTTGTTGTCCACTATGTGAAACTTCTTGGACATCACTACTGTTTTGAGACTGCTGTGCAAGAGCATCTGTCTCTGTCTGTGTCTGTGTCTGTGTATGATGATTTTCAAAACTGGTAACTGCCTCCAGATTAGCAGGAGGCTGTGGTGCTGACAGCATTGCAAACTTCTCCTCATTTGATCTTTCAACCAAACAAGACTTGTCATGTTTCTCATTTTCTACTTCTGTCAGTTTACTGTTGGTTTCACCAGAAGCAGTTTGTGAAAGATCAGAGATCCCATTTGATTTCTTATCTAAAGATGGCTGATCTGTTAGAGTATTTGAAGATAACTTTGGTGTACTTATGTTTCTCATAACACGACCATATTTAGGGGGAAGAGGTTTTCCATTGCTTATGGTCAAACACTTTGCACAATGCCATTCCTGCCACTCACCTCTAGGGATAGATTTCGGATTACAATGTAGACACCTCAAGTGATACCCTCTTTCACAAGCATCACATACAAGTACAGTATCCACATCATTGATTGTCCCCTTGCACATTTGACAAGTCAAAGCCTTGGTCATGTAATCCCTTGAAGGAGGTGTCCATGTGGGATGATCTGGCAGATGCGGGTGCAGTAACTTTTGAACAATTTTACTAACTTCACTGTGTGTATCGCTGACAGAAGGAGGTTGAATGAAGTTCATACGATGTGGGACATGATTCGTGTTCATAGGAGTAGGTGTTCCTTGAGTGATGAATGGTTTAGATGTAATTACATGACTAGATGAGCCATCTGCCTTTACCTTATCAGATCCAGCTTTACCAAAAGAAGCAGCTTGAGGCTGCATAGACCATGATGGAGTTTTCCCTGTCATGTGATCTCCAATCACTGCATTTAGGATGCATATGCTATGAATAATTTATGAATCAAGAAACTGAAAAAGAGTAAAAGATGGTACCTTGGGACTGTGATGTATTATAAGAACCATTTGCACCTCCATCTATTCTAAAATGTGGTCTTTCAGCTCGAGGCACTGACAATGAAGAATCTCTTCCCATATGTATGATATTGGAGACACCAGGTCTTACCTCACTTGTGGGCAATTGATAAGGTAAAGCTCGTGTGTTGGATGCAGAAGCATGAACCACGTTTGAAGGATTCTGGAAGCTTCCGGAAGAAACAGGTGTGTGATTTGTTTTATCTGATGGAAACATCCTTACAGACGCCCCACGGTTTTCAGTAGCCCCACTTATGTTTGATTGCAGTCTTGGAGGTGTATACATATTGGAATGTAATGGGAAAACCTCTGACTTTTCCATCTGATCGAAATGCAGAATACAGAAGCTTATATCAGCAAAAAAGAAAAAACAACATGTGGCAACTATACAGCAATATCAAAAACAGGTAAAAACAAGTTTCAAGGAACTCAATTTTAGCAAATAAACATCTGTAACTTAAAGGAAGAAGCAAATATCAGAATGGAACCTCACCTTTTGCTTTGTAAGCTGCAATTTCTCAGCAATCGACATCTTTGGAGGCCGAATCCCTAACCTCTGTTCCCTCAATCTATTAAGACCAAGATCCTCAATTACTGACCCAAAAGCATCCCTAGGAAAAATATCTTTTGGAGCAAATTCTTTACAAACATCAGCTAATTTCTCCCTCGCCTCAGCCATCATCTGCACCTCCACCGCCGTTGGCTTCCTACCGCCCCTCATCTTCCCCATAGTAGCCAGCACCAACACAATCTCAGCCACCTTCTTCACATTACTCGCCAGCCCAACATCAACACCTCCTCCTTTAGCCTTCTTAATGCCCGAATCTCTATCAACACCATTCTCCAGCGGTCTCTTCTCACCTACGGTCTCAGATCTCATCTCCGATAGATCCATAGGCTCTCCAACAACCGTATTATCCATCGATCACTGACCCACCACCATAAAACACGTTTTTCCTCCGTTTTTTGAAGAAAAACACCGGGAAAACACCAAATTTTCGTTACAAACCTGCATAAAGGATCAAGATTAGATGCCATAAGATGTGGGAAAGGCGAAAGAAACCCTAGAGGGAGGGGGGAGTCGGAAAGGAGAGGGGTTTATGATTTGAAAATAAAATTCGGGAAAAGATCGATTAAATGAAATACCTTTTGGCGGGTTTGTAATCGAATATAATCGGGGTTTTGGTCTTTGGGCGAGGAGTTTGGGGGCCAAAAAAAACTTCGAGCAGGGGAGTCAGGGAGATTGAGAAGAGAAGAGAGAGAGAAATATAAGGTGGGGTTTTCTTCCATTTTATTACTCCCAATTATCGAATACAATTATTAATGTTTAATATTAAAATTATAAATTAAGATTATACTCTTTTATAAAAATAAGATTATATCCCTTAACATATAACATTAACGAAAACCAAGTTAATTGATGGTGTATTTGTTTTTTAGAATGACATGTTGATTTTTTATTTGATATAAAATAATTATTTATTGTATATTTTAATATAACAAAACATGTTATAAAATATAATGTCAGGATATTTTACGATTTATATAAATCAAATCATTGTCTTTTATTATTTGAAAAAATATGATTATATGTAAAATTATTTATAAGTAAAATAATATTTTTATATATTATACACTGTTAAAATTAATTTAACTTAATATATTAAATTATATATTTGTAATCACTTTTAATAATAAAACCAAAATGTTAGTTATCAATAACTCCAATTAGTTTACATAAATATTAAAGGATTGGTTATTCATGACTTAATATTACAATTAGTTGTGAGACCCATTAATACATGGAATATTAAAGGATTGGTTATTCATGACTTAATATTACAACTAATTGTGAGACCCATTAATACATGAGTTAAATTTTTTTTTTAAATTAAATATAAAGATCAAAATATTTGAGAAATTTGAATTTATAAGAAAATAAAAAAAATAATGAATTATTATAATTGAAATGTTTTTTATCTTTTAAATTTAAACAAATAATTTAAATAAATAAACAAAAGAAACTAATGAGCTTTAATTTGAGAATTTTGAAATTAAAAGTTAAGTTGATTAATGAAATTGATATTCATTTATTACTATATTTATTGCAATTATTACATTAATATAAAATAGAAAAACTTATAAAATGACATGTGGAAAAAAAATTAATTCAAAATAACCACAAAATGATATTTGACAAATTGAATGAGAATGTGACATGTGGCAAAAAAAAAACATTCATTTATTAGAGTAGATAATCGTATACAAATTATTTCTAAGACCATCCACATGGGTCTTATATTGCAATGACATTGGTTTTCCTATGATTTTTTGTAATTTTTTTTATAACAATGTAATTAATTAAAAAATTTCTAAAATGTTCTCAACTCATCGACACCTTTTATATATTTTAACAAAATATCTCAACTATTAATAATTAATAATTGTTCAATAATAAGTTAACATAAAGATAATTATTTATAGTTTAAGTAAATTTCAAATTTTAAAATACATAATAAATAATTAATTTAGTTTAATGATTAGTCATTTAAACAGTATGGACATGACAAAGCATGAATCACAAAACAAATATTAAGTTAACTTTTGTTTCTTCGTCTCAAATCGGTTTCAAATCTCTTCACACATTTCACTTGTTATTAATGCTTTATGAGTTTGATATATATATTTGCATAACTTCGAAGATAGTTGTCATACTCGGGAAAACAACTTTAAGAAGTTTTAGGCAAAGATATATTAAAATTAAATTATATGTATAATCAACTTAATGAATATATAAATCATGTTCAATCTTTCGTGATCATATTGTGCATTATTACATATGATCTTATTATTTTCTAATTATTTCCTTGCACCACATACATGATGGTCATGACTCATGACTCAAGATAAGAAAAGGCACAACAATAATAGTGATCAACATATGTCAGACATTTTGAATTCGCATCAGTAATTATTTAAGATATGCATGGCCGGTTATGAGGGAGGGCAAACTGGGCATGTGAACAGGGCCCAATTTTTTTAGGGGCCCTAAATTTTTTTATATACTGTATTTTGTATTTGGGAAAGTCGAATCACACCCAAATATCATGTAAACGAGAACGTTTGTCTACAATAAAAACCCTTGGAATCTTCGTTGGGATACGGAAACTCCAAAAATTGCGTACAAATCCATGGCGTTTGCTCACAATTTTTATGATTATATCTTTTGAGATAATTCCTTATTGTATTTTGATGTTCAGAGGCTTGCGTTTGTGTTGGCAGAATGGTAGATACAATGGAACAAGTGAGGGTTCTGTTTAGGAGATGGGCAAAGAAGGTTGTTGGCGCAACAAAGAAGGGATATGAATATGCTGGAGTTATGTGGCAACAGTGTGAGTTTCTTCTTTCTTTTGATTAATTGGATTTTATCCATCTGGGAAGGATTTATCCATTGATGATTTCTATCTCAAATTATTAGGGCACCATTTGATAATTAGGATAAAACAGAAATGCCTTCACAGTTATGATCGATTTTGTATCTCAAAGTGATTGGAACACCATAATATATTATATTTTATTTCAAGTAATATAAAACTAAGAATTTGTGTGATAGAAAACCAACTCTACACAAACTTTTTGATGTTATATCCAATTACATTCACCATAAAACATATATCAAATTAAAAAAAAAAAATACTTTGTCAAATGGTGAATGTGAACTTGAACACGGATAAATATTGTTAAATCTTTAAGAATATAATCTTTAAGAAGTCCAATACTAGACTTGTTTTCTAAGCTTTTAGTTTTAAATAATCTATACACATTCAATTTCATATCATTGTCTTAATTTTTTTTTTACTTAATGACTTAACATGGATATGACAAAATCAGATAAGCTGTTCAACTTTTCTTGATTTATGTTCATTAACTGAATATTCTGTTAGGTGGATGCTTTTTCTATCATTTTTTTAGTAAAATACTATGATTTTTCTATATTTATTGTTATAAAATCTATCACCGTTTTAAAAAAAAAAAAAACTGCAATTTATATAAATTTAATTCGTTACACTTTAGGGCTTAAGGGTCTTTTTTTTCCGGCTCGTCCTGGACATTTGAATCCTCAGGACCGGCCCTGAAGATATGTATAGTAACAACACTACTCACGGAATATTTAAGCGCTTCAAAATTGTTGGAGTAGAATGACTCGTGTTGTTTCTAAGTTTGTTGGTTGTTATGAACAAATCCAACATAGACGTATAAATGGGTTGAATGAAATAGACAAAAAGTAGGGTTTTTTATTTATATATTTCACTAGAGAGATCTCAATTCACTTTTGTGTGCTTGGATAACATTACGTGATGAATATAAATCAAATACTATGCAAGAGAGGCCGAGATATTCCAATAAATTTGAAGATAATGGGCCAAAAATAACTAATATTGAATCCTTGTTCATTTGGAAGAAAACTTTTAAGAATAAAAGTAAGAACTACGGGAAAGTTTGATTAGTACTTGATCATTTTACTTATGTTTTCCAATATAAAATGAATAAGATATCTTACATCAATTTTTAGTTAGGCACGATGTTTAATTGGATCATTACGACATAACATATTCCACCAATAATCTGTAACATCCTGTTTGAGGACGTTCCTTAAATTCATGATTTGGGGACCGTAATTCGACCATGTAAAGGCCTTGGGCTTCAATGGAATGGAGTTTAGACTCTATTGGAGGTGTATGATGTTGGATAAGTGACTTACACCTTGGATTGTTCGATGGAAGTTGATGGGTAAAATGAGAAAGGTTATGTTTTGGGCTTCTTGCATAAATTAAGAATTTTAGTTCGAGATGTTTTTAGTCATAAGTATCAAGATAGAATTGTAGAGCTCGTCGATACCTTACCGCGGATATAAAGATCGTAGAAAACGGAGTTGAAATGAAGAAGTTATAGTGGTTTGATGTTAAGTTGGAAAAGGGAGTCTGGCGGTACGTTGGGCGTACACTAGGTAGTACGTTGGGCGTACTGGTTGAAGGGGGACACAGTTTTAGGGAGTTTTGGTGGGTGTACCGTCACAGTGTTAAAATCCTAATTTTGTGGTTTTTAGCCATATTTAAGGACTCTAACCCCTTGGGGCCCTTCCTAACATCAACCTCCACCCTCTTGAGCCTATAACTCGAAACTATAGCCCCCTAGAGCAAATCTTTAGACTTTTTATGTGTTTTGGGTTCATTTTGGAGGAAAGAGAAGTCCAAGATTTTTGATTGTTGAAGCTCAAGCTTGTGGATCCAGAGCCTACATTGCTTTTCCCAATTCCAGAAGGCGGGGTCTAGTTTCGGCAGTTCGGGTGTGAGTTTTATCAGTTTTTTGTGCGAGATGAGTCTTCTCACTATACTTGCATGTGCGGTAGTATATACGTGTTGACCAGTTGGATCTTATTTGTTGTTATTGTGATATGTGTTATTGTGTGTCTTGAGACTTCGGGTAGTCTCCATGATTGCTGATAATCCACAGAGTGTGTTGTTTGCTCACTGAGACTTCAGGTAGTCTCCAAGATTACTGATAATCCACAGAGCATGTTGTTTGCTCACTGAGACTTCGGGTAGTCTCCAGGGTTGCTGATAACCCATAGTTGTTTATTTGTGTTATGTTGTATGGGGTATTTTGGGGAAGTCACTAAGCTTCGTGCTTACAGTTGTTGATTACATGTGTTTCAGGTACTTCTGATGATCGTGGGAAGGCGAAGGCTTGATTGTACACATTCGCCTGTAGTTTATGATTCCGGATATTTTGGGACATTCTGATATTATGATGATGATTTGTATTTGATACTTGTGATTTTCTTGAGATGGGTTTTTATGAACAATTTTTATAGTTAATTAAAAATTAAAATTTTGGTTTGAAAATTTAGATATTACAAAGTGGTATTAGATCCTAGGTTTGAGGGATTTGGATGAACACTCGTGGGATTCCAAACTCAAACTAAGGATGTGAAGATTTTCATAAAAACATTTCAAAAAGAAACAAAGAAATTCAAAGAAGAAAGATCGGATGAAGCAGTGTGTACACTCAGCCAGAGCTTGAGCGGTGATTTCCCAAAATATCTCTAATTATTTTATGCGATGTGTCAAGCTGTTATCTTATGAGTTGATAGAATTGCATGCTAGATTAGGGCTAAGGATCTGCTCAGTGTTGCATGGTAGGATGCCTGATTAGGTGAGATGCATTACGCATGTTATGTGAGTTGGTAGTGATGCATGCTAGTGACTAGAGATCTTTAGGAGCTTCTA